AGCGTGTACACGCACATACACAGAAGCACACGCACCTACGACGGCTGACCACAGGAACTAATTACAATGTGCTGCAGAGGACAGCTGCATTAAAAAGAAATGTAATTTCATGTAATTGCGTGTATTTGCATTCAAGCCAAAAACTGAAATATTTAACAGGTGCCAGTTACGGATTCCAGGACTTTCAGCTGCATATCACCCTAACCTTAAAACCAGTTCATTTTGCTGCCATTCTCAAGTTAACCACACAGACGCGGGAGCTAACTGAGTCTACACTCGACCGTTCTCATGCATATAGACCCAGAACCTGAAATCCCAGGAGAACTTTGGTGTTGACCGCTAACTTAACGATTTTAAGCTCATTTCTTCTGTCTCCCGGTCAGCATCTAATTCTACTTCCTTTCAGGTCATTCTGCCGAAACTTCTTCATTAATCAGACTCCTGTTAAAGCTGCGAACAGTGTCGTCCATGCCAGTCTGCCTCCATGATGGAAGTCTGACAAACGGCCATATCACCACCATCTCCAACCGAAGGGGCCGACAGTGGAAGCCTGGCCAAACGGTACACGAGCGTGCCGGGGGGAACCTGACAATCTCCGACCTGATTGGCACACGGCCAACGCAGACCGCAAAGCTGCCAGGTCACAAATATAAAGTAGGGGGCCGCAACAAATCAGCTTCAAACTGACGACCACTTGGCCATCTAACGACCACTGCCATTGGTCAGTTTTCTGAACCACAACCCTTGACACCAGGCTCAAAAGGTCCAACCCCATGAAGATCCGACACATACAGGCCGCTTGGCGAGGATTACGTGCATTCGTACTTCGTATACGAAGCAGACACACGTTGGGTTCTGTGAGCCTGTGTTCCTGTGTAATTTAAGCCAGTACCTCACTGGCGGCTGTCAGTATGTCGCCACATGGCATGTTACACTGACAGTGAGCTACACATTCCTCTCTCCAGTGACTGGAGGTAGGTCAATGATCTACAATAATCTCATAAAAAAGGGAGAATTTCATTTCCACACTCAAGCTCCCAACTTGTGGTTCATTTTTACATCTGGTAGAAATCAGCATTTACAAATCCTTCCAGTGCGGGGGGGTGGGGGGGCTTGCCAAAACTTGCACCTCACCCTAAAATAAAAGATGCCTTGTTCTGAGCCCAGTATAAGGTGCATAAAACCAATTCAATCCCCTGTTCTACAAAGTTTAGGCGCCAAAGGTGCTACTGTACAGCATACCTGGGCAGTCAGAACTCTTAATGCACCAGATCACTGACATCACTCCTTCAATCTTCACCTCACTGCTATCTTTATGAACTTATGGTGAAGTGTGTGTAAGTGTGTGTGTGTGCAGTCATCTCACTGCTGCTATTGACTATGGCTCTGTGCAATATCTTGGCAAATGTGCAATTACCAACCTACCCAATAGTTTCACTTATTCTTATTGACTAAAGCCCCCCCCCTTATTTATTATATTTATGATGCCCTTGCATATACCCCCCCATGTCTCTTGTACCTATAGAGTGTGTATATTGTGTTTTTATATTATTTTTATATCTTGTATTGACACTGCCACTATCTTGCATCTTTGTGGTCTTGCCAGCTAATTTTGTTGTCCAGGCAACTGTACAATGACAATAAAAAAGTCTTGAGGTCTTGAAGTACTGCAAAGCAAGCACATAGAAAAGAGCAATACCTGAAATATGAACTTCACTAATACTGTACAGCTTCAAAGACTGCTGGATAAACAATACTACTGCAAATGGAATCAGCACAACAAGAGGGAAGCCTGACTGAGACCTCGTCAAAGACCACTGACTTAGACCTCGTCAAAGACCACTGACTGAGACCTCGTCAAAGACCACTGCTTTCTCTGTCAAGACCCCCACTTTGCATATTCTAACTGTTAACATGATAACAGAGAGACAAATGCATCTTAAGTCAAAGTCCTACACACAGTCTGCGGTCACCTTGCCGGGATCCTCCCAGTCACTCCCAGTCACTCCCAGTCAGGTGAACACAAGGAGTGGAAACATGACAAACGCAGCTGGTAAGCTTCTCAACAACAATCAGAGCAAAACTTTAACCAAAAAAAACCAAACTAAAACAAACAAACCAGCTGTCAGTGTGTTTTTTATTAATAACCAAGTCAAAATAAAATAAATGAGATAAAATGACCAAAATTAAATTAAATCACGAAACCATTAAAAAACACACTTTTCAGGTTTGCAATAATGCAGTGAAAAAAATTGATCTGATGGCATAACTGAGTATGACGGGACTCTACCCAGACTGTTACAAAACATTCACTGCAAAAGTGAACAGTTTCCAAATAATGTAATTATGCTGCACATCGGTGTAACAGAAGCACAGATTCTAAGAGCGCGCAGTACAGAGTGCAGTGAACACAAACTGGCTCCCACTGCCTTTTCATTACATTTTTTAATCAATTAAGCAGTGAATTGGAACAATTATTCCTTTTCTCACTCCTATTGATATTTTTCTCCCTGACTGCTTTCAGACCATTTTCTCTCCCCTAGGGGAGATTTATGTTAGATAATTCCTTCCTGATTAAAATAAATCAGACCCCCCAAATTCCTCATTTCCTCCACTCAAAGCCAGGTAAAAAAAAAAAAAAAAAAAAAGTTAAAAATAGAAGATCTTAACCAGCTCACGCTTTCACTTTACCCAGCAATGGAAAATCCATGTTTTATATTCAGAAATATGTCATCAATTCGACAAAATTGCTTCTGTTGCAAGGCTGGACACCCGGATCTCGCTGCAGAAGCCGGGTCAGTCAGAATGGGTGGACTGGACCGGACCAGGCCCAGGACGACACGTATGAGCAAATCAGGCAAGTCTGCACCAGTGTGACAAAGACAAGAAGCAACCACCTTTCACCATGAAATCAGAGTGCAGCAGCCTCCACATGGACAACACAATCTCCCCTCATATGACCAAACCAAAGGTGGACATTTCAGGTCCAGAAAGTAAAACTCCAAACCAGGATTTTGTTTTAACCAACCAGTGGGACATAAACAGTCACAGTCACAGAGTACTCAACTGGTTGGTTGGTTACTTTCTGGAGCTGAAGGACAGATTTTAGCCACTGGCCATGGCTTTTCATCAGAGCTCCATCACGACGGCAGGAGGATTGAAGGCCATCCCGACGGCAGGAGGATTGAAGGCCGTCCCGACGGCAGCCATGGCCCTGGCATCGGACGAGCAGCTGAGCCGAGGCCCTGATGCAGGAATGGCTTCTACGCCAAACGTGGGTCCAATTAAGCTCTGTTACAGAGCAGGGGAGAATGCCGCGAGAAAGCCATCCATCATATCACGAAAGGCGCGATGTGTGCCTACATGCCCCCCTCCCCACCTCGCCCACCCCACTGTCCTGCCTGCCGTTCCTGCAGTGGGACAGACTGCTGTAGGCCTGGGTTAAAAGCAGCCCCCTTCCCCGTGGCAAACCCAGTGCAGAAACTGGCCACAGTGGGGCGCTCACTCGAGCAGGACGCGTGTCATAAACAAGCACTTTAAGAGCGGTTTGGAAGAAATAATAAGTCCGCCCAGTCCTTTAATTAGGCCTGTTAATGTTCCTGTCCAAAGACGCCCCATTGTCCCAGGCTTCCTATTGCGATTTCTCACACTTTCATTTGTTGTCCGGGATGATGGATTGTATGGGATGGCTGTCATTTCACTTAAAAAGGTTTAAATGACCATACTGACCAGGGAAATATACTAAAGGCAGGATTACAGCTCCTTTAAAGGCTGCTTCAGGGCCATTTTTCCACATAAACGGCCGCACTGCCATCTGAAATGTATTATTTAAACCAAAGAGCTCCAGTCCCAATAAAATGGCTTTCAGCAACCAGTACATTTGTTAAACAAGCCAAGACAGATTGTTGTACTGTCAGCGCAGACGAATTAGCCAAACTGGCAGGGTCTCTCCTTTAAGAAAAATTATAAATTAAATATATATGTATATATACACAGACACACATATTATATATATATATATTTATTTTATTTATTTTTTTTGGGGGGGGGGGGGGGTAGTTGAAATGCATACGATTTGCTGTAATCTATAAGCATCCTGTAATTAATCAGCTAATTCCCCCTCAGCCCCAGGATCGTGGTAATTAAAGTTCTGTAATCGCTTATTCTTTCTGCTCCAGCACCTGCATTTCATTTGCTTATTTTCCCAGAGTCATACATCTGTGTGACTGTCAAACTGCCATAATATTAGTGCAATAATCAAAGTTAATTATCAGTCCCTCCCCCCCGCCGTTCCCCCCACCTCCCACTGCTCCAAATAAATGCTATTGCAGCGATCGCTCTCACTGTCCTCAAAGAGCATATTTTTAAAGGTTTACAGGTGCATATCCCTGGGGGAAGGAGCTTACAGGTGCAGCCCCTTACTCTTTATTGGTTAAGGCTGCCCAGCTCACAGACTGTTGGAAGGAGCTGGACTTAGAGCTCGCTGATCAAAAGGAAACATGCAACCCCGCAGCGAAAAAGCTCAGACGTGGACACTGGCCTGTAATGAATGGACATCACACATAGGGTCCGCCTCAAACCAGGAAGCACATTTTATAGACAAAAGCAGGCCTATGTGCAGGAGCACAACTGAGAGTGTAAAACGTGCTCTTGGGAGTTTTACTTTCACAAAAATATTCTGAGGGCAGAACAAAAAAATTATTGGTTGAGAGAGACAACCAATCAGATTGTAGAGGATGTGGGCCCAAGCAACTAGAGGAGGCAGGACCAACAAATTCAATGTCTTGGTCCTTTGGTTTTGACCTCTCTAAACCAAGCATTTTTCATTCTGCCCTCAGAACATTTTTGTGTAAGTAAAACTCCCACGAGCATAAAACACACCTTCCCTCCAGCACAGCAAATCCACCATCTATTATGGGTGATGGAATCTGTGATATTCCACTCTCTATAACACTGACAGCCTTGCAGGCCCTAGTGGGGGTGCTGGATGTCGAACTCACCCACTCCTCCTGGATGAGGCGTACGGCTTCCCCAGCTCGGGTCTTGTTCCGGCATGCAAGGATGACACGAGCTCCGTGGAGAGCAAAGGACTTTGCAGTTTCAAAACCTTCAGGAAGAAGGGGGAAGAGAAATGGACAGTTAAATGTATGGAGATGAATATTTTGGAAAATTTTAAGGTCTCTGTTCTTTTTCAGGGGTTTGTGGATTGGGATTGAAAATTGGAGATAGATATTACGGAAAATGTTCTATCAATATAAAAGCCATGGGCTTTAATCACATGCCTTTCAGAGTAGAGTGATGAAGCTCACTGAATTAATTTGGGAAGAAACTACTCATATTTGAAAGATAAAATTAGCAGCAGCACAATCACAATTGTAGAAGGTATCGAGACTAATGATATAGGAAATAAATGAACATAAAGAAACATAAACCCAGAACATGGAAAGGAGAGCTGTATTTGGAAATGAATACAGCAAAATGCAGTTCGATTTCCAGCTCTTAACATCAAAACGCTAGTTGTTCGCTTGCGACTTCAAAGGAGCGATGATAAGAATGTTTAGCCAATGAAAACTCCCCTAACAACCAATGTGAGGAGGCTTCTGCCTTCACGCCGAAATCCCACCCCAAAGACCATGTCTGACTGCTTGGACGCGCAGTTTTACACCCAGGGCAAGGATAAACCACTCAGCGAGAGCCTTGGGAGATTCAGGACGGGGCTGCTTTGGAATCAGCCTGACTTAGTGAAAGTTTAAAGCTGTTGACAGGTATACAGTCAGGGATCTGTCTGGGCAGACAATACTAATAGTCGATTTGTCTCATGGTGCATCACGTGACTTTTTCATAGGCGGCCGAGTAACGCCAGTTTGACTGACATCAGTGTCTGACACCTGAAGAGCAGCACGCTGAAAAGGCTGTAGTGCAGAGCCTGGAGTTAAAAATTGCTGGACGCCATCTTAGAACATCCCCCCCAGGACCCGGAGAGCCCCCAACAGCTCTGAGGCAGCGTGCGGAGAGCACGGGGGCTGTCTCGGGTTAGCACGCCGCGTGAGAGATGGGGGAATTCTCTGGACCCGTTTAAAGTGCCTGGCAACCCCTCAACCACATAAAAACACAGCCATGCTCCTGTGGCCATCAAACAGCACCTTCCGAGTTGTGGCCCTCACTGCCCCCCCGTCATTACCCCTCGCAACACCAGCTGTGGCACATGCCACAAGCGCATAATATGTTCATCAAAAAACTGGGAAGTAGTCTTTGGATGGTATTACGCCACCGGGGGGAGGGGCTGTGACCTGCCGTTTGATGTGACAGCACGGCACGACTCTCCCGTCCTAAAGCACAGGCCATAAAATGCACCATAAAACTCACACCGACCGGCTGCCTGCAGTCAAGCCAGTGCCGCGCTTGGCGCCGTGCTCCTCACACCTTCACGCCGTTTGCGGCAGGTGGGACAGCAGGAAACAGCAGAAGGAGGGACCATGGAGGAATGTCGTCAAGACAGCCCAGGGAGCTTCAACTCCTATAGGGAGACGAATATTTGTACTCCTCCAGGAGGGACCAGGTACCACAACCAGCAGCGTCTCACACTCTTGATCATTGTACCTTTTCTGGGAAATACAGCAGTCAGAGACCAAAAAAGACAGACGTTAGATATAACCAGATCCCCCAGCTTCAGATAATAATAATAATATTTAATGTAACTTTTATTGATCCCCATGGGAAAATTGTCTTTTTACACCTCCCTCAACTTGCTCTTCGTAGAGTAAGCTGTCCGCGAAGGGCAGCCACCTGTTGGGGCGCCCAGGGAGCTGGGGGTTAAGGGCCTTGCTCAAGGACCCGCAGACGCGCTGAGGCTGGGTTTGAACAGCCGACCTTCTGATTACAGGCATACAGGCTTAGCCCACTGAGCCACACGCTGCCCCCTATAGCATCTAAAGGTCAAATTCACAACAGTGTGTGCTCTGTTGACCTGTCGTGCATGGCTATGGTACCAACACAACACTCACTCCCCCTTACATATTTTCAAATTCATATGCTCATCCATGACAGCCAGAATTTTCAGACTTCCCAGAACTCTTAATCAGATTCTCATTAAAACTGGGAGATAACTGTGAAGCCAAGTAAAATCAAATAACTATGGAATGAAATTATATTTTTGGGGAGGAGGGAAGGTGGGACAAACAACACCACAAACTTCAGAGGAAGTGAACAATATAAGAGGTGAAAAAATATACTATTTATCTACAAAAAAAGAACAACTTAATTAGTGCCAAATATCAGAAACCCTCTAGCTGGAAATGCAGAGTTCGGGATTCAGCTGCTGTTGGACATCGTCCACATGTCTTCTATTCTGTGTGACCTCAGGCTGCGCTCCAGTCAAGGAACATATTTAAACAGCCCCCATCAACCTATTCCTGACTCCGTTATAAATCTAAAAATCTGCTAAGTGACTCACTTCTGGATCCGTTCCATGATTTCCATCCCTGCAGATAAACGTCTTGCATTTAATACTTTTATGTAATGTCCACCCTGCATAAAACCTTGTGTGCTGTCATTCAATGGGGGGGGGGGGGGGTTCATGTTTGTCAGCACAATTAAACATGGTTTGAGACAAAGGCAGGAATGACAGACAGAAGATTCCCACAGTCGATTTTCACCAGTGTGTGGATCAAATCAAAACCAGGGCCAGCATCTTCACAGTGCACGCTGACACTGGGAGTTCAGCTCCGAATGCGGAGCTGACAAGGTTGCAGAGCTCATGGAAACACGAGTGTGGATTAACTGCGTAAATAAAACCCGACCTGATTCTGCATATATCATACCCGTACTCCCAGCAGCTAAAACTCATTACATCACCTCCAGTCTCAGCGAAAGCATTTAAATACTTTAATGTGACAGGTGAGATGTCTAGCATTTCCTTGGTGGAGTAAGTGAGGATTCTGTGCAGGGAGTCTGGGTCAGAGTGGGATTTTGATGGTCATGTCAGTGTTTTGAGGGACTGATCAGTGAGGGTAACTGTTCTGATTTTCCGTAGGTGGAGTGAGGAAGCTGAGTTTATATTTACATGCAATCATGTTGAACATAAGCTATTGTGGTAAGTGTCTGCCCTGCTGTCAATCGACCAATCAATCAGCCACAAAACTCTAATGATGACATAATGGCCATCTGTTTATCCTATCTGACACCACTAAACGGCACCCAAACAGACAGGCTTCCTCAGGACAGAGAGAAATTTTAACTTCATAGATCACAGTGACTAAGAAGCAGAAACACGCGTCTTTAAACATAATTTCACAGTTACACTCCAAACAATTTTGAAATGAGAGTTCAAGCCAAGTATACTCTCTGCATGCAATGCAAAAAAACTTTATTAAAATCTGCTAGGATAACATGACTACCATGAGTTACTATATTTGTAATGGAATAATCGTGTCCCACATGTCAGTTACAGATGTGCACAGGTCAAAATGGAAAGCGCACAACAATGCCAGGCTGTGTTTTCCCAGCAATAACAAGGGCTTGACTCTTATTCTCAAGTTGGCGTTCCAACGCAGTCGACACACACTGACCTTTCACCCCTGCTGCTCACCATGGAAACGGTGCACAAATTAATTTCTGGGGAGGTGAACAACAGGACAAGGTTGTTTTTGAGAAGCAGAACAATAGACGTGACAAGTAGCAGCACTGCAGGCCAATGCTAAGTATTACCACTGCAACTGCTTAAGGACACTGCATTGTGACAACAAAAAGCAATACATCACTACGACAACAAGGAAAACACAAATTAATACCAGATTCTTTCTGCCAAAAGGCACCATCTGATGTATCAAAATCAGGCATTTTCATGAGCTCTCTCAATGATGATAGATCTGCCATTTTAACTTGGATCACCATGGTTGTGCTGGAAAACCGACGAGACCAAGGAGCTCTGGCTCTCATCACCCAGTCTGAACTCTGACCTTGTATCCCGAGCCGCTCTCGCAGTTTAATGTGGGCAATGAACCCTCCACTTTGTTTCAAACCAAGCATAAACTTTGTTTGATTAAGAAGTCCTGAGAAATGTCTCCATGGGGTTTGAGAGAAATGAAAGCAAGGAATTAGTCCCAGTCAATTAGCAAAAATGCCCGCTTGCCCACTGGATGTGCCTGGACATTCTGAGCGGAAAGGGTCGAAAATGATTAAGTGTTACTGGTCCGTTAGCACTGGAAGGACAGATGCACATGTGTGTAAGTGACCATTCCAGGTGCAGAATTGTATATGAGAAAGAAATGAAAGCTCTTGAAAGAAAGAAAGAAAGAAAGAAAGAAAGAAAGAAAGAAAGAAAGAGAAAGCCAATGACTCTGACCCTTCAATACTTGAAAGGGCACAACAGCCAGTGTGAATTGTGTGTTATTTTCTTAGTTACTTCTCCTAAATACCTTCGAATAATTTCAAAGAGATGTTCATTATATGACACTTAGACTTCAACTTGAGACAGCAGCCTGTAGCATAAATAAGCTCAGAATCAACTTTGCAATAAACAGCACTGTGTCCATCACAGTGCATACCAACAAATTAACACAGAGAAATACAAGATAAAATTCCTATGGTTCCTGCATTCTATCTATGACGTTCTGTGCTGGGCTGTCAGTATCAATTATATTTATAATCAAATAATCTACCTTTTAATTGGACAAGTAATTCAGTAATTGTTTATATCAGGTGCCTGCAGGGGGCACAGTCAGTCAGTCACTCACACACACGGTCAATTTATGCAATTCCCATTTACGTACCTCACATGTTTTTGGACTATGGGTGGAAACTGGAGGATCAGCCGTAAACCCATGTACAAACGGGGAGAACACGCAAACTGCACACGCGCAAACTGCACACACGCAAACTGCACACACGCAAACTGCACACACGCAAAGTGGCAGTGTGCAGGGACAGTGCTTCTCACCGCGCCCCCTAGGCCTGAGCAATGAGTAACGTCAATACTGACAGTGTACTAGTTATTATCATATCAGAAGCACTGCTATAGTCACCTAAGTTAAGAAAAAAAGTTGCACTAAAACATTTTACCGTCATATATCAGCAAAACTTAACTCCTTTTCTCAATTACCTAGAACG